TCTCTGTTGTTCCATGTTCTTTAGCATCTCCATTAAACAAGCCAATTCACTATTTCTTCCTTGTGCTTCTGAAGGTGTTTCCCCCCTTTCTTCGCTTCTTGTTTCCGTCGTTCTCTCTTCTGCTTCTTCCCAGTCTTCGTTACTGCTTCCTTCACCAGTTTTCTTACCACTTCTCAGGTCCATTTTTCTTCTTTCTGTTTCACTTGATCGTTTTTTGAAAAAGCGAGCCCCACGTTGGGCGCCAATTATTATGTAAATTGGTTGGTAGGTAGCGGTGTATTTATTATTTTGATATTTATTTATTTATTTTTATTATGTTATAATTATTATTTAATTTGGTGATTAATTTTGTTTCTGGTGTGTAAATTTTGTGTGTGTATAAGAATTAATTATCCGTTTGGGCGCCTTTTTTATGTAAAATGTCATTTGGGTGTATTTATATCTAATTTTCCATTGAGTGTAGGTTCTGATAAGAAATTTTAATAATAATAACAAACATAGACGAACTAGACTTTCTTACCTTATTATTGCTAACATCGCCTCCGGCAGCTTTACTTTGTATAAATAATGTTCACAGTGTAGACAGGATTTTATTAGTGTAGATAGGANTCTTTCACACATTGTACCTATTCTTTTTTCTATCTCCTGTTGGAATTTCTTTTGTTCTTCTTTAAATTCTTGACGTATTTCTTCGAATTTCGTCTCCACCTTTTCTACAACCTTCTCAATATTTTCTTTAATATCTTGCGTCATCTCCAGGTTTTCCCTGTGTCTTTCTTCTCTGAGCTTTTGTTCTTTTTCTGCTTCCATTTTTCTTTGTTCTTCTAACATTTTGAGAATTTCTTCTTGTTCTTTCTGTCTCTCTTCTCTTAATTTCCTATATCTTTCTTCTTGTTCTTTTTTTCTCTGTTGTTCCATGTTCTTTAGCATCTCCATTAAACAAGCCAATTCACTATTTCTTCCTTGTGCTTCTGAAGGTGTTTCCCCCCTTTCTTCGCTTCTTGTTTCCGTCGTTCTCTCTTCTGCTTCTTCCCAGTCTTCGTTACTGCTTCCTTCACCAGTTTTCTTACCACTTCTCAGGTCCATTTTTCTTCTTTCTGTTTCACTTGATCGTTTTTTGAAAAAGCGAGCCCCACGTTGGGCGCCAATTATTATGTAAATTGGTTGGTAGGTAGCGGTGTATTTATTATTTTGATATTTATTTATTTATTTTTATTATGTTATAATTATTATTTAATTTGGTGATTAATTTTGTTTCTGGTGTGTAAATTTTGTGTGTGTATAAGAATTAATTATCCGTTTGGGCGCCTTTTTTATGTAAAATGTCATTTGGGTGTATTTATATCTAATTTTCCATTGAGTGTAGGTTCTGATAAGAAATTTTAATAATAATAATGACAAACATAGACGAACTAGACTTTCTTACCTTATCATTGCTAACATCGCCTCCGGCAGCTTTACTTTGTATAAATAATGTTCACAGTGTAGACAGGATTTTATTAGTGTAGATAGGAATGTTCATTTTCTACACTGTCCCTCAAGAAAAAACACTTTATTTTATCAATAGCATGAGTCCTTACCTCATAGGGGCGGTTCTATGCTCTTTTAATTAACCTTTACTATTTAATTTTGGGTAAGAAACATTGAATAAAAGCAAAATTGGAAATATTTACACAAGATGACATTTATTACTTATTTATCTTTCAATTTCGAACAATATTTTTATGAACACAGAAACTAGAATATTTTTTTATATACTTTTACATGAATAATTGTCTGAGAAATGCCTTATTCTACCTATCATAATTGAGAAAATGTTTGGTTAACCAATTATCATTATTTTAAACGTTTTTCAAAACAAATCAACTTATACTACGAACATTTGAAATTAAACTAATACTTAAATTATAGAATGTTCAAAAATGTCAATTTAAATTTTAATCACTGACATTGTTTATAGTTTGTAACGGGTTTTGTATTTCACAAATAGCTTTTATAGTTCGAATTTGCAACACTTTATGGCATGGAGAAAACTCTTATGCAACTGGACTTACTTGGTTTCGTTCTGCCTGGCAATTTGCGGTCGTCTCTATAACCTCACTTTATTGTTGTCGTTTTCTGCTATTCTCGTGCGTTGAAGATGGCTGTTGGGTCTGTGTAGAGTGCTTCCTGGTGTTTTTGATGTTGTTTGGGGAGCCACAGGACAACATGCACCCCTCACCAGTCTCTAGAATCTCCTTCTGCCTCTCTCTCAGCTTGTTGACTTCTCTCGATGTTTTTTTGTTTTTCCGGTACCAGGTAAATTCACTGATTTGTTCTTTCGCCATTGGTTGCTCGTATCCCTGTTATCATTTTCTAACTGCGCAATTTCTCCAGCATGTTGCGATGAATTTGATTTTAATTAACTTACGGCGTAATTTATATTTTATAACTGCGTAGTAGATTTTATACGTCTTAATACTAATTTACAAGAAATTTTTATATGATATTTTGCATGACAAATTTTTTATAAGAAACTTCTAGCCTATGTGTTTCTGATGTTATAATATTTGAACTTTCTTTTGTACTAGATTATTTAACATTAATTTACTCATAAAATCTCTAAATTGGCCCTTCTTGTGACATTGTCTTTTACTTTAATGCTTCTACTTCGTACCCAAAATTTATTTTCTTGACATGCTTATCATTAAAACGTATTATTTGAAATTTTGACTGATAATGTTTTAGTTTATATATGAAATAACTATGAAATGAGCTTTTTATTTTACTTTAAAAGTACTTTGTCTTTATTTTATTCTACATTATAATTTCATGAAAATTTTCTATGCTATTTCTCGGTGTTGTGTCTTGAGATGCAGTGTGTTCATTTCAATATACAGGGTGTCCCGGAACTTGATACAAAAAAGTCGAGTACACATAGATGAGGTCAAAATAATATCAGTTCTTCATATAAATTTTTTTCATACGGGCCTTCGTTAACAATTTACGGGCCCTCAAAAGTGAAAATTAAAAACGAGTGATGCAAATTTGGAGATCGATAACGCATACATGCAGCTTGTTTTTGATGTTGTAAGTGAAACTTCTTTATGCCCAGAATGCCAGAGATGGACTATGGCCAATGGTTAACAACCCAGGATTTTTGCATAGATCTCGATCTGCCTGTATCAAAAATAAGTTCCCTGAAGAATTTTCCAACGATAATACACAAACATAAATTAAATACATAAAATTAACAGTTTAGGAAATATTTGTGATTTTATGTCACAGTGCACATTGAGCGGCGCCTCCACCATATTTTGTTTACATTTTTAATTGACATGCTTCCTAAGTCTACAAATGATATTTGTTTGTACACGAAAAAGCATTTCTGGGGTATGTCTATTATGTATGGGGGTATGTATTATCACAATAGAAATTAATTCTTTGTAGCAGTTCATCCTGTCTGTACTGGGATTGAGTACACTTAACTTTTCCCCACAAGAAGTCCATCGGGTTAAAGTCTGGAGAACATGGTAGCCATAAAATTGGGCCTCCTCTCTTAATCCATTTATAATTAAAGACAATGGATAATTAATTTCGTTGTTCAATATTGACATGGGGATGAGCCCCATCGTGCTTGAACGGGTGTCTGTCTAATAGAACATCGTCTAATAGTGACTGCAAATTATTTTGCAAAAACTCCAAATATCGATGTCCATTCAAACGTTCCTCAAAAACGTATGGATCTATTTAATAATTTAACATTTTTGAGAAACGTCTGAATGAACATCAATATTTGGTGTTGAATAACTTAACTTATTTTATCTTATTCTTGTTTCGTTTTTCTATTTTATGTTATGTATAAAGTATGTTTGTCAAATTTTATTAGTGAAAATTACACTAGCAGACAGAAAGATTTTCTAGGTTCTTATTTTAAAAATTTGTATGGTTCTAACATAGTAATTGTCCAATTAAAAATTAAAAACAAAAAATGGTGGAGGCGCCGCTCGATGTGCACCGTAACATAAAATCTCAAATATTTCCTAAACTGTTAATTTTACCGACTTGAATCAAGAGAGTATTATTGTTGGCAAATTCTTCAGGAAACTTATTTTTGATACAGGCAGATTGCGGTCGTCATCTATGCAAAAATTCTGGGTTGTTAACCATTGGGCATAGTCCGTCCCTGGCATTCTGGGCATAATGAAGTCTCACTTACAACATCAAAAACAAACTGTACGCATATATTATCACTGACCAAATTTGCATTATGCTGAATTTAATAGTTTAGACTAAATAAAAATAAATTTTTAATTTTCTCCTTTGATATGAATATTTTAAAAGTGATTTTTAATCTGTTAAACTTCTCATTTAAAATATTTATTAATCAGTACAGAAAATACCAACAATTATGGGAAATAAAAGTTTATGTAATAAAAAGTTATTTCTTTATAACACAAGAGTTTTTGACATACGATATGAAAATACAAGTACTGCCAAAAACATATTTTTATACATTTTTTGAACAAAAATAATTGAATTTGAAAACTAAAAGTCTATAAATATAAAATAATGGCTAATACTTAATATACAGTATATACAGTATATTGTTGTTTGCGGTAAATAATCTCCTTCAAAATACGTGATGGTTATAAAAGTAGAAGTATCCCTAAGAGATATAGGTATAGAAATAAAGTTGTTGTTGAAGAAAAGTACTCGAGTAATGAAGGAGGGTGTACAAGGGGCCTAATAAGGCCTAAGTGCCGTGGTAGAAGACAATTCCACCACCCCTCCGACATACATACATACATACATACATACATACATACATATAGTTGTTGTTTCAATATTATCATCGTATTCTAAAGAAATTATTGTCTGGAGTTATTTCTAATATTAATAAAAAACCATTTTATTAATATTTATAATAAATAAAAAATTACTATTTTATTATTTTCTCTGTTAGAAAATTATTTGTCCAGGTTGTCAATTTTTGCACATTAAGGCTATAAAATATGAATTTAAACGCTTTGTTCAAATGGCCTTTAAAATTTAAATCTAAAACAATTTAAGGCTAATGTAACTGCTTTAACAGCAAATGCAAATTTATTTTTAAGCATACTTGAATAGAATACATATTAATTATAAAATTAATATTATCCACTGACCTTTTGTATATCATCATCGGGCATTTTCTGAGCTCGAAGTTCTGCAATCAGTCTTTCACGAAAATGTAAAAACCATCCCCTTGTCTCTCTTTCTAATATAGATATGAGCACAGGTAAAGCTTTTCTCATTAAACCTCTGTCCCATAATCTTAAATCTAATTCTGAACCAGATGGTGTTAAAAATCTATACGGAAGGGCTACAGGGGGTTGTGAACATTCTCTTGCTACCTCAAATTTTTCCATAGCTGCTCGTCGCAATTGCTTACGAATGTATGAACATAATAATTCTAAAGAATCTTCATTTTCGGGCTGAAATGGCATTAATTACAGTATTCCTTATACTAGAAAAACTAAATATAATAAAAAATATATATATATATAAAGATTAACTTACCCTACACACTAATTCAGCCACTAAATATTTGTTCCTTTCTTCGCGAATTTTAGCTTCTAAATTATGGGTTTGTAGACTTGGGATACCAATTAAAACATCTAAAATACGTAAGAATCCTAAAAGTAAAGCTTTAACTGCCTGTGAAATGCTGAAGAAGTGAGAAATAAGTCTTCCCTTAGCTGTCACAACTATAAAACGTAGTGCTAGAGCTAAATCATTTAACAAGGAATCATGGCTATTCTCTGTTCCTTTCTGTAAAAGTTGGGAAAGCTTCCATCGATGTTGTTGGCCAGGAAAATTTAACGACTCTACTTCAAATTCACTGTAAATTTAAAAATATTATAATTGAGGTCACTTTGTAAGACTTTACAGTAAAACTTGCACAGATTTTTTACACAAAATACTACAATTAAATTTCCAGTAGTTTACATTCAAAGCTAAGAAGAAATAAAGTAAACAAAAATAATACTGTATAATACTTTATGTTGTAATCTTCATATAGAAATTTTTTTAATTAGCTGTGAAAATTTTGACTGCTTAAAAAATAAATGCGAAATGATGTGCTAAAAAGCATTAATTTTTCTTATATGTCAAAATTAACTATTATAAAAAAAATGTAGAAATTGTTAATGACTTCTGAATATTTTTAAATATATGTATATGTATCTCGATAACGGCAAGAACAAATAAAACACATGAAAATAAATTTACTTTCGTCATATATGTTGAAAATTCAAGTGTTTCCGAGACATAGGGTGTTTCAGTTCAAAGAAATATATATATTTGAAGAAAGGGGACCGCCTAGCTGGGTGTCTTGGCCGGCGGATTTCGATCTGCCGAGGCAAGCATCACGGGCGCAGGCTGGAATTTGGATGGGTGACCTAAGGCAGGCTCGGGGACGTGGCTGTGGCAGCATCACGGACTCAAGCTGGAATTTGGATGGGTGACCTAAGGCAGGCTCGGGGACGTGGCTGTGGCAGCCTATGAAAGACCTAGGTCGCCCAACATTTGCCGCATGCGTGTGGTCCCCGATAAATGGTAATGAGAACAGAGCAAAGAAAATCTCTGTAACTCAAGACCATGTTATCATACATAAACTGTACGAGACTTTGCCACCAAGCCACCCATGTAGTAAATAGGATGGTTTGAAGAAAGGTGCTCGAGTAATGAAGGAGGGTGTACAAGGGACAAGGTCTAAGTGCCGCGGTGGAAAAACAATTCCACCACCCTCCGACATACATACATACACACACATACATATATTTGAAGAAGCACATGGCACAATTTTTTTGTAGTTTAGTGTATCGATTCGACTATTAAAACAATTAATCCCCCTAAATTTTTTACATAAAAAAGTTATACCTTATTAAAAGCACTAAGAATTAAGGGCCGCCCCACAGACTTCGTTCAACTCGCACGAATTGGGCCGTACGAATCTGCATGAACGTGCAAGGCACGTAGTGTTTGGAGAAAAAAACTGTTCGGTTTCACTTTCCTGCAAAACCTATTTTGGTTAAATACGTTGCCATTCTTGGTTTGTGCGATTTGATCCGTACGGTTCTGTTTGCACAAATGGAACTAAGTCTGTGCGGCCCATAATAGTTTTCAAAATAACCACTTTTGACCGCTTGAAATTTCTAATGCAACTAAATATGTATATTTAAGTTGGACTCAAATATTTCAAAAATGTAGGGTGGATTTGATGCACTAAAGAATTGAATAATAAAGGGTCTGATTAATAAACTGTAATTTTTATTATTGTTATACCTTCGTCAGAAACAATAATTCAGTATATTAAATTGAAAAGGGCAATGCTTTAAATAGACCCACTATACTCGTAGATTTTTCTGTGTTGAAATCAATAATTTCTAATTTACACAAGAACTGTTAACTTTGAGTATAGGGAACTATAGTATCATTTAAAGTAAATTTAATTCTGCATCCATCAATGTAATAATATACAGGGTGTATTATTTGAAATTTTTGAGTAAATTCAACAAATTTGTGGACAACACAATATTGTCCACACGTTTTTAAACACCGTCTCAGTATAAATTTTTGCAAATTTGACATGAACCGGTTGAATTCCATTGCTTATTATCCATGCCAAATTTCATTAATAAATAAAGAAAAATGTCGTAGTTATTCTATTTTCAAAAATCACTTTCATCCCTCAATTTCTTTCGAAACATAATAACTTGAAAACTGTCACATTTTGACCCATATTACCTTATATGAAAATAGTCTATAATTTGCCGTAGAATTAAAAAATGCATAAATATACAGTGTTACATTTGAAATAACAGAGCTGATGATGACTTCAGGTATAACTGGAAGTGCTAGGAAATTGACACATTTTCATTGAATAGATCCTTTTGATAAACCCCTGTATACAAATTTTCAGATTTCAATTCTGACTAACTTTTTGAGATAATCCTACTGGGCCCTCTTTCATGTCCCGAAATTAGGGGGCAATATTTCTACAGGGTGTTATATGTCGAAAAAGATAACTTTTTCTTTATATAAACGTGGGTCCAAAAATTCTTCCTAAGGAAGTTACAGTCACTTAAAGGGGCCACTCTGATGATGTTTTTTTTCTAAATAACTCTGAAACCAGTTGAGATAATGAAATTTAATAACTAGCTTAACTCTTACGTGCTCAGTCTGCTACTAAAACGAAATTTACAAATTTTCATCACATACATTCCAACACTGGGGGGAGGGGGGTAAAATTTACCGTAACTTTTTATGCCTTGACTTTTTTGACTTTTGGTTGAAAAGTATGAAATTTCAGAGTTTTTTTAGTAAAAAAAAGTACTCTTGATCCATATTGGTTAGAATGTTCCATTCTTGTGTAAGATCCGTTTAAAAATAATGTTACATGTGCAAATCGAAATTGTCAATACTTTTTATCGTTGCATATTTTGATTAACAAAAATGCGTTTGGAGACATTTGCATTGACAGTTCAGTTATTTACTTTTTATGAATTGTTATCAGTCGAAAATGCAACATTTTACGAATATAGAGCTAGCAGATACTCATAATGCCCATTTCTGGTCAGACGAAAACCACAGACAATATGGTGCACAAATTTTAAAAATAGATTTACAATAAATGTATGGACAGGAATTTTAGGAGACCAGTTACTTGGACCAATTCAGTTACCTGTTTGTCTGAATGCAGAAGGTTACACTACCAACAAGATGGGGCCCCGCCTCACTTTACCCATAATGTGATAAATTGGTTAAACGATCATTTTGTAGTTTACGCTACAGAAATAAATCCTTTGGAACTATTTTTATTAGTTGATTATTACTACTTAATAATTTCATACTTTTCAGTCAAAATAGTCAAAGCATAAAAAAGTTAAGGTAAACACCCTGTTTTCGAGATACGGTGTGTTGAAGTTGTTACTTTCCAAATGGTTTTCCTTAATTATCTTTAAATCGGCTAAAGATAAAAATGTCAAAATTTGTACACGAGTAAACATTGACTGTGCGTTAAGAATAATGTGCAAATGGTTTCTTTCTGAAAAGCAGTGTCGCCGATACAGGTAACTGAAAGGGTGCAATCGAAAAAAAATATGTTAAAGGTCAAAATTTGTTACATTTCTAAACGGTTTTGTAAACTCTAAAGCATACTACAAAAAAGGTATACTTATCGGAATTCTGTAGCATATACCATTTTCGAGAAAAATGAAGTTGCATTTTTTTTGCTCACATAAGGCGGCACATGTACATTAACAAAATATTAAATTGAAAGAGGACTTTACCATTGAATGACTGAAGACATTTAGCTACCAACAGTATTTGCATTTAAGACTATAATTTTAATTTCTTACGTATCACATGAAACAGTTAAGTAAATTGTAAAACATTTTATTAACTAAAAAACAAATAAAATTTATTTTAAGTTTCAGCTTGTTGTAAAGTAACATTTAAAAATGTAAATCAAAATAAAGAAATTATGGTAATTAACTACCTACTAATAACTAATTTTAGATTTTGTAAACTGCTACACTACTAAAATAAACAATTGTTGAATGGACTGAATTGATGGACATGAATGCTTAAAAAAGTGATATCTAAGAACAGAAAAATATTTAGGAAACAGACTCATAGACATACAGAACAAAACAGTTGCATAATTAAATAAATGAGCAAAACTCGAAATACTAATAATAAAAACAATAATATTTATTTTCCATAAAACAAAGTGTAGGAATAGTCAGTAAGTGTACAGTAACAAAGTTTGCATTAAAAAATGTTCGATCTCATACACACATTTATCCACTAAGTAACGTTTTAACCTAGACTTAAATTTAAGTAAATTATCTATTTTTTGTATTTCCTCAGGTAAATGATTAAATACTTTGAGCCCAAATACAGATGGGGACTTCACAGAAATATTATAAATACAATGAGGTACATAAAATGTATTCCTCTGTCTAGTGTCATATGTATGCAGAGCACCCACTTTGTAAACATTATTCTTATTATTAAAAACAAAAATACATAACTCAAAGATATATAAACTAGTGTTAATATTCTATATCGTCTAAAAATGTTTCTACAGGAATACTTGCTGGATACACCCGCCATGTACCTCAAAATACGTTTTTAAGCCAAGAATACATTTTTAGCTGATACAGAACTTCCCCAGAATATAATTCCATACCTTAGCCTACAACTCGCTTGTGCATGGTGCAAACTTATGATCGTCTCCGTAGGTAACACACCTTTCAAATTTCTAAAAAGATAACAAAATGAGTGCAATTTAGATATTAAATTATTGCAGTGTTCTTTCCAATTTAAACACTCATCTACCTTCAACCCTAGGAATTGTGCGCTCTTACAACTAGAAATAGAGGTATCATAAATATTAACATTCAAATCCAAATACGTTCTTTGCCAATTATGAAATCTTATAAAGTGGGTTTTAGTAATATTAAAATAAAGAGAATTTACCGCATACCATTTTGCTATGTCATCCAGTATATTGTTACATTTGGTCTGCAACGACCCGTCAATTTTATGAGAAATTAAAAGAGATGTATCATCAGCATACATTGTCAAATAAGCATCAGTAATTATTTTATCTAGATCGTTTATATAAAGCAAAAATAGTACCGGACCCAGTATAGATCCTTGAGGGACTCCTAAATTAAGGAAGACACATCTCAAGTTAATTTTATTAACAATCCCGTCTTTGCAATGTGTTACATTGACAAACTGTTTTCTATTTGTCATAAAAGATGTAACCCAATATAAATCCAAACTATGAATACCATAGGATGACAATTTTACTAGCAATAATTCATG